TTCAATTCGTGTTATGTGAATAGTTCTTTTGAATTTAAATTTAAATTCTGCTCAAGTGATTTTACTTTCATTCATTCCATAGTCCTGTCACAGGTTTGACGGCATAATCTTGCCCGATGTATTCGCTAATTAATGCATCTCTCAGCAAATTTGTTTTTAAATCACACTTATAGAAAGCCTGCATGATTCTTGTAAGGAGGCAATTGTTGTTTTTAATCCAATTTAATCTCTTGAACTACAAGAGGTCAGATTAACTTATGGAACAATTCATAAAGCATTCCGGCCTAAAAAAGAAACTAGTTTTTCAGGGGAACTATATAAAAAGACTTGACCACACAAGTAGATCTGTAAAAAGCTGATGCAATCTGCAAGCAAATACTTGTAACTTTTTCAAAAAAGAGCCCACTAATTGCCTTGTGTTGACTTAAAGTAGTGCAAATCATGCCTAAATGACACGCACTTGATGTAGCGCCATTACGTGGAGTGACTTGACACAACTAAGAAAGAATTTTTGAGTTCCGTAACTCTTTAGGAGATTGAAATTAAATTTTAAAAATAATAAAATTGTCATAAAGAAACATTATGGTGTACAGTGCTTTAAGTACCATTGGGACTCTAGCAGAGGCTTAATTGCATCCAGTAAAAGCGCTTTTTAATGTGTCTGGTAAGGCGATTCAGATGAATGATTGGTACTAGCGTCTGCTACTTTGCCAAACCCCAACTGCAGATAAGTTCTGCCAAATACTCAGTGTCCTTCATCGGTCAACCGATCTATGGGCACCAACTCGGAAAATTGGAAATCCCAAAGCACCTGCCGTGTCCCCCTGGCCTTGTATGTTAAGATTTGTAGACGGGATAAATTTTACACCTATGAGAGGGGTCTAAAATTGCCTAACAACTTTTTAGACAGTCCATGGACTTTCTTCCAAGAAGAAATGAATACCGCTTGAAAATTTTAGGCGATGATGAAAAGTGCATTAACTTCGAGTTGATTTAATTTTAATTAACCAATATTTTTTAGCATTAACATTCGGCTTAGCTGCAGAGATTAAGCTTCATTCCAGATGTTGGTTTTGTTAATAAACGCACTTTGTGGTAAATTAAAGTAGATTTATCTTTCAGCATCTTTAATGGCTGTCTTTTTTGCAGAAGTGTAGCTTTAATGGACGTGTGCGAATGCTCATTACGTTTCCTAGAAAAGTGCGAAATTGGTTGCCTTGATATCTAAATTAGTTGTCATTGTGTTGGGTTAAATAAATTTATTATGCTTGGCATGAAATAATGTTGTAGGTTTAAAATTTACTTCTTTGGAAATGCAATTCGCGCCTCCGAGGTCTCGTCGATTCAAATGAAAGGCTTATTTTGACTTCCACTTAATACCTGTCCTGGAAATTTTTCGAAAATTGTCGCCTAAATCGTGGCATATAGTGACCCCTACAGAATTATAAAGGGCACTTGGGAGGAAGTTTATTTGTTTTTTGAAGAAACAATCTAATGGTTTTCGTTTTATTTTTTGACAGTGCGCCAATTAAGTGAAAAGAGCGATGGTGAATTTGTTTGTAATCAGGGATTTGACTTAGCATTGATAGCGCTAGCCTTCTGCTGGACGAAGATAAAGCTACTAAGCCCAAAATGTTGTGAACAAAATAATATATTTCTTGTATTACTATTTAAAATCCATCAGCACCCAGCCTTAGCTCCAGGATTTCAGTGCTGCAAAATTTCTCTCATTTGAATATAAGCTAAATGCTAAGGACATTAGCTTAGCTGCAAAAAGCACTACATGTTCTAGACTTGGGCGCATCAATTTACCTAGATGCAATTTTGACTCGAAAAATACTCCGGAGGTATGGCAACGAAATATCTTTCGCTGTTACAAGTCCTGAAAGCTTGCTCTGTAAGCTTCTGCTCAGCTGTGGACAGGTACTTCAAGTAAACTGAGTCAAAGGTGCATAAAAATTTGAGTCGACTTAAGTATCAAGATGCACATGTTCAAGCTAGTGGCTGACCTACTTTTTAGTCAAGGTTACATGTAATGTTGAGGCAGCGAAGACACATCAATGCCCAAGATCCTAAAAAGTTACACAATTTAAAATTTTTGACTCAACAATCATGATATTAAAAACAAGGCACATCAACGTCATCTAATCTTTACGGAAACGGCAATATTTCCTAGCTTTGAGCATGTCTATCACATTTGCAGGCACGTGAGGCTATGTTGTGGCCATCTAAACTGACTGAGGTTACCATGGGTTGCAGAAGCGCACAAGTACGTAAATATATAGTCCTGTCCGCTATAAATATTGCTTCGTTTCACTTATTTTCTTGCATTAAAAAAAGTCATGGTTCCCGCCTTTAAATGTCAACATTCCTTTGTCAATTTTCCTTGTATAATTTCCGTTCCTTCAGCCTCAACTTTTTTTGTTGAATCTGTGTCCCACGTACAGGAAAGTAAAGGGTCAATTAAAAAATTAAACTTCGTGCGTATAGGTCAATTTTAGCGGTGACAAGTAACAGTGCAAGCCTTTATAATGATGAACTCGGGAAAGTTCGTAGTTATTTGAGGCGATACGACACGATGGAGACAACCCCTTTTTTTAAAAACTAACAGAAATCAATTAAAAGGTAAAGGTTAGTGTAGCGTTTGTCACTTTATTTCTGAATAATTGTTTCTTTTATTATGCTGCTGTTGGTGGAACACTGTTCAAACTCCCCAATAGTGATCAAGACTATTTGTTGTGTATGTTTAATCTTTAACATCTACTGCTGGCTCTATTTGTTGCCATAATATCTGTTATAAAGGATAACCGTAATATAAATACACTTTGCCAAACTGTTTTTGCTGTTCTTCGTTTTCGGCGCGTACATTTACTTTTGATTATGCTGGTGTTATTTTCAGTTACTCACCAGTAACACTTAACCTGTGAAACGCTCCTTCGAACTCATTTTACCTCATTCTCCTTCGCTGACGGCTCACGAGGTTGCAAAGACAATGAGAGCGAGCACTTACTGTCAGATAGTGGTAGACATGCTTTCAGGCTCCAGGTATTTGCAGCGAGTCTTTAAAACACCGTAGTGACGCAAGTTACTCGGCGTGTGCCTCACGTACAGTAGCCATAAAACGACTTCTGCAAGAAATGATAATGAGACATGCAAATAAAATGCCGTCCATGGGATGAGGCGATTTTGAGACTTCACGCGAGAATGCAATCGTGTTAAGAACAAACACATTGCACTGTTGGTACAAAACAAATTATCTCTGCAGGCATGTTTTAAGTAAAATTAAAGGCTTAAAGCTGGTTTTGAACTTCAAATCCGTCAAGTGAAATGGATCGCCAATAGTTTTAACAGTGCAGGAATTAAGTCGACGAATGTGAACCAAAAAGGATGGTGGGTAGAAAGCAGTTACTTCCACTGGTTATTTAAGTCGTGGGAGACCAAAAATAATATAACAGTTTCAACCCCGTACAGATTAAGGCAATTTTATTGTAATATATTGCTTCCTACATCCCTAGGGTTGTTGAGGTGGTGTGAAATGTAAGTTTGTTCCCCCTTTCGCTGCTATTCGTTTGAAGTCCTCGCAGGAAAAGCTCCACATTTTCGGGAAACTAGCACGTATCCAAATATATTTTTCACGCAACAATATATACCCCACGCTTCCTCGATGTATTGGCGTGATAATAAAAGGGACAAAGCCACTGGCAATATTGGTCTGACTCTCTTTTCAAAAACATAACTGTATAAACTACTTGTATTCTAACGGCCCATAACGGTTTAAGGCCTCTGGTTTGAAATTACAGGAACACAATAATTAACTGGGTTTTGTAGATATAATAATTCTAATCTTCTGTGTTAATAATCGAAGAGCCGAGAGCTGTATGCAGGTTTGGCAAACAGCTATTATGCTACCATGGAGTGATTGGTGTAGACTCGCATCCATTTACTCGATCGCTGCATTCCCTGACATTTAAGTTACTTGTAAGCATACTATTTCACTTGAATTGTATTGGTAGGTATTTATATTAGGCGTACATGACTGAAGCACCCTACCCACAGCCAGGTTTGGTTATCTACTAAACGATTGTTCTTGTTGTCTCTAGACCTCTACTTGTCTTCTGGGTCGCGTAACCGAGCCAATGCAACTCACCGCCCCCGTGTGGTTCAACACCACATGTCAGGGCCCTCAACAAACTATTTACGGCCCGCCGACGCTTGCATCAACTTGAAACCAAAGGAACCGATTTTCTTGTACAGATAACTTGGGCTTCCCCTTTCCCCTACTTCGACATTCGCATAAATTCAAAGTACAAACCAGTAAACAACATTTCATTTTGCGCAAAGTTATAAAACGCCGAGAGATTTTCGAGTTAAATGGGAGCGTAGATTCAATGTCACATCTTTGATGACATAATTCATGAATTTTTAGATCTAGTCCGCATTTTACCTAAGTCCAATTCACAGTATATGAACCAAAGTTCAGCAACAGCGGAGATATCATTCGTACACCGTGTCAAATCAGACTAGTCAAAGGATATTCCAACCTTTTTTTCGATCTGAAGTATTTAAGCAGAAGCTGATATGCGGTGGTGCAACATGGCTTTTTTAGATTCAAAAAATCGAACTTTCTCATAAGCGTCTTTCCTGCCAAATTTTCGATCAACTGCTAGCTGCTATTACTAAGACAGAACTGTGCTTGTAAATGTGTATTTTTTTAACATCCTCGCACTGCGCTCAGTTTGACGCCCTTACATAAACATTGTAGATCCCACAAAGTAGATTTCCTAAAATGTCGGTAATCATAGAGGCCCTGTAGTGACTAGAGGATTTAGCACTACCTTACAGCCCTCTAGTTAACTGCCCGTGGCTACCCGAGGATAGGGAAAATGAGGCGACAGAGAACACGACCGTTTATTAGAGTCGAACCAGCCAAGTGGCTTTGTGTGCGTATGAGCACGCGTGCGTAACAGGCGAATGCTGAAAAAAATCAATAACAAAAGGGGATGAGTCATCGCTACACACGGGCCTTCATGCACGCACACTCGCGCGGGGCGGCTGTCAGTCCACTACAGCCCTTCGATTTCTGCCGCCCCTTCAACGTTAGCGGACTGAACTTACAGGAGATTGTCAAAATTCTATTTAAGGATACTTCATCTCTGCAAATAATTTCACATAACTACATTAACATTGGACACTTGATGCTTGCTTGGTAAGTCCGAAATAGTGGCACAAGACAAGTGCCAACTGGTAAGTCCCTAATTGCTTTTTCTCTACCTTCTTAATTCAAAAAAATCCTCAAAAGTGGTAAAATTGAGTAAAATGCATATACTAGCTTATGTGAGTTAGTTCAAGGAACTCGATTTTAACTATAGTGTGCTGGCGAATGTGCCAAAATTTACACAGATAACTACTACCGACAAGTTGGATCGCACCGCAAAGGCAGTTAGGATCAAATGTCATCTGAAAGATTGTCGCATTTCGACTGTTTGATTTGGTTCATTCTCTAACCCAAGGTTCAGTAGACAAATAAATTTTTGTGGGCCCGACATGTTGTCTAGATCCACGCCGGGGCCACTGCGTCAATCTAGGCTGATTACGCTACCCTGAGTACCCACTAAGATAGAGACGATGGGAGAGGACGAGGTACAACCGCTTACTAGACAGCTCAACCTAGGTGTGTTGCGTTGACTGATATAATTGAGTAGCTAGTAAAAATGCAGAAGTCTGATTGGTCACATGGATGAGCAGGCGATCCCGCTTGACTGACGGACACGCCGTGTAAAGGGGTTCGTGTGTGTGTGAGGCTGTGACAACCGGGTTTTAGGACGTGAGTCAACACGATTCACTACAAAATCATGATGTTTCACTTCTACCAATTCTGTTCCCACCCACTCGAGTACACAGCCTTCACTACCTACGCCAATACCTGTGCGCATGTCACCAATTGTGCCATTTAGTTATTTGTACATTTACTAGTTCACCCAAATGGGATTGGGTAACAATCGGTATTTGTCAGGCTCCTCATGGAAACGTCTGAGACAAATAAGAACACACAACCCAGAATACACACACACCGACACAACGGTATTGTCCTAACTTTAGTGAATCGCAGTGATTAAAGCACATCCCCCTTGTCGCCTCATTCCTCGACACACCGCCCGTTTTTCACAGGGCGCCTATCTGACATGTAATATCTCGTCTATCCTTCTTACTAGTCTGTCAATTCACAACTCCGAATACACGCACAAGACAGCACAACTTTGCAGAGGCATCAAATAAACAGTTAAGCCTCATGCTCTCGCGTCTCGTTACTTCTCTGGATACCTTGTGCTGTATCGTGCAGCAACTATTCTAATAAACTATTGTGTCTGTGTCGTCTTCGGTCTCTTAAGTAGTCCTAGGTATTAGCATAGTCCAATAGGATTCAATCCAGCATAGTGGCTTCGGTGTGGTTCGTTGTTCAAACCGGGGCTACTGTAGTTGATACTTAGTTCGCCCAGTAAGTTCTAATATTTATAGCCATGTACTGATGTCTGCATATTTGTAGACAGCTTGTTTCACCTAACGGACTAAGCAATAACTCACTGATTCCTTCTTTTTACTTGTTATTCCATATTACACCTGCTAATATTAACTGCATTTTATGAAGTTTAATTTTAACATTTAAATTTACACATATCATGAATGAATGAATGAATGTTTACAACAAGTGGTCTTTCCTAACTAGATAGCAGGGGTATTTTTAGGGGCTCCGTTAACAATCCCATGATAATTGCAGCCGGTTTCAAAGCCCTTTGTTTGCCAATGGCGCATGCAACATTAATGACCAGGCAAAAATTGGTGTTTGCGGACATGTCGGAAACGTTATTATCCCATTTAGCTGGAGCGCAAACAGGTATTGGTATTTTAATATCGTGCCTTAACAACTACGCCTCAACACAACGGCGTTAAAGTATATCTCTCTCGCACTCGTGTGGAAATTTTTCCGTCATCTATTTACAGACTGTGAATTATGCTCAAGGTCAAAATTAAGAGTCAGTGTGTGTTGAGTTTTTACAGCAAAGGTTTCTAATTGGTGGCAGATGTAATAAAAGCGGTAAAATTAACATAGTCTGTATTTTTTTAGTGCAAAATTGTTAGAAGACGGCTTGAATACTTTCAACTACAATTTTGGCATTCTGAATGTACCGAGTTGATTTGTACATTTCCTCACAAATGTATGTGAAAAAAAACAAGCTTATGTTACATGTGATTGGTTTACTATGTGAGAAAGGAACCATGCAAATTTTACATTAAATTAAGGTTATGCTATCCTAAGCCAAAATCTGGGTAATCAGCAATAACCGCTTTGGGTGTTTGACCATTTGCATTTACCGATGACGTGTGATTTACTATCTAAATATTACAATTTTGAGTGCAGATAAAGAAGGGGTGACAGGAGTACCCAGAAAAAGTGGGAAGGCCATTTCATAAAAAATATAAGCTTGTTTTTCAGGGACATTTGTTGGTTTTCCGAATGATTGACATGCATGCAAAAGTTTCCTGGATGCACGTAGAACAATTCCAATACACCCACAAATAACTTTGAAAAAGTGAAGATTCAACTGGAGCATCGTCAAATATCCAAACTTACACAAAATTGTCTCATTTATGGGTTGATGTCGTACGTCTGCTAAATGCATTCGGTCCTAGACAATGATATTTTGCAAAATACTATCCCATTTTAAATTGCTTGGTCACGCTATAACCGTTCACGTGATTCGCCCACTACACTTGTATATATGCAAGTTAAAAAAAATTATTTCGAGAAACTCAAAGATAAGGCTGAAGAAACTTGGTGGACTGCAAATGTATGCAACACGTCTACGATCCCAGTCATGCGTCGATTATGAACCAAACATCGACTCAAATTGGTTTTTAGTCATAACTTGCTAAAAAATCCGAATTTATCGTTAGGGCTAGCGAGACAATTCTTTTGTACCAGTACCTCGGTTAACGCATTAGAATAGATCAAATTATATCCCAGCCGCTAAAATCATTCTACATGAGTTTGCGATCTTGAGTTGCAAACAGATCCACCACCGGTGCTCGCACGATGTGTTTAACTAAAAAAATTGAAGTGGCCGTGGAAAAAATACAAAAAAATGAGCCAGAGCAATTTTGAGTCTAAGGGCAACCACGTAAACACAAAGCAGGTAAATAATCAAATAAAAGTTCACGTAACAACACCAAACTCTAACACTAAATTCAGTGACAACAACGGTCGTTAGACTCGTGGCAAAATACACCAAGATCTCTCAAGCCCAACCCTGGCATTTTTTAACAGAAAAGCTTGTTGATGTGCACGTCTTCAGAATTTTGGAGTGGAAGATAGCATTTGGGATAAGATGTCAAAGCAAAACAACCTGGGCATGCATATAAATGTGTTAAGACCTTACGTTTTTCAAAATAGGTATGAGTTATTTTATGGACTTGCTAAAGTTCAGAGTAAAATGTCGGATTAAAGTAGTCGGCTTTTGGGTAAATTTGATTGTAGTTTTAAAAGTATCATAGTTGTCTATCTCTCCACAGTCATGTTTACGATTCACTGCAAACATGCACGGCTGTAACTCGTCTAACAACCAGTAGATAACTGTTAGCTTGTCCCTCTTAGATAGCCACACCACCACCGTTAGCTACCAGACATACGATAGAAGAATAAAAGGAAGAACTGGATGTATTCCAGACTACCGCATACAAATTCAGAGGGCCAGAGCTTCGGGAGAGTTAGAGCTGGAGGAGGAATGGGATGGCCGTGAGGAGGGTCGGCGTTGCCCTCAGACTCACGGCGTGCCTTGAGAAAGGCGGGAATGTGGGAGGTAAGAGAAGGACAAACATTAGGTCAGACCAGCGTGCGGGGGTCGAATGGTGCGGGTTATGCGGCCATCTTGAAAACCAACTTGCAAAATACACGATTTTCATGGTGATCAATAGGTCACACTCTACGTTTTTTAGGCGTTATTTGATATTATTGAAGTCCACAAGTCGTTACGCGTAATAACGACAGGTTCTATCGGACGATACCATCGTCGTAAGAGAACGTGCTCTAGATGGCCCTCCGAAGTCATTCACCGTCATGCTCTCTAATATCAGCTGTCCCAGAGTCGCAAGGAAGCCTGGAGCAAATGGTAAAGGCGGTGTTGATGAAGCATTCGGATGGATGGCTCGTGAATTCGTAAGAGCGAAAGTCGTTGGAAAGGAGATTTGCTATGCAGTGGAGTCTGAGGTGTCCCCGGACCGAGTGTTCGGTTCCATTTTCCTCAGACAACCTGGTGGAGTTCAGAACCTTGCTTATCTGCTAGTGAGCGAGGGTCTTGCAAAAGTGAAAAAGGGCGGGCAGGCGTTAGTCGGTGAAAACCCAAGTTTACAGGCCCTGCTTGCCCTCGAAGAAAAAGCCAAGACCGAAAACAAGGGTATTTGGTCTGATTCTCCCTCAGGTGCACCTCGAAATGTATCGTGGAGCCTGAGTGACCCTGCGGCATTTTTCTCCGCACACAAAAAAGTGCCTCTACGAGG